AAAAAAAAAAAAAAAGAAAAGAAAAAAGACAAATTACCCGATTCCCAACAGCTATATGAGTCCCATCAGGCTTGTAAGTTATATTTATGTTTTCCCCACTGAGTTCTGCCTGCTAAGTGCATTTTCCACCTAATAAGGTGAAGGCAAATGATAACGTAAATTGCGAAAAAACCAATATTGGCAGAAAAAGGAATAGCCGAATAGGAATCCACGATACTAATCTGAATTTCCAACCAGAAAAATAAATCAAAAGAAGTGGTATACATCAGTTGAATTACAACAGCTTCTCCCAAAACCAGATCAAACACTTCTGGCCTAAGTGGACACGTACTATTTCAAATATTTTACTCACAAAAGCCGAACAAGCTAACGTAAATAACAAATTAACTTACTCCGTGCATCCCACAAGCGGACGGTCTTGTCCCCTGATGCTGTTGAAATCAAATCAGCGTGTTTTGGGTCCCAGCATAACTGATCCACACTATCTGTGTGCCCTTTGAGCTCAATGTCTTTAACCTTACCCTATCATACAATGAAATAAATTAGCTGAGAGTGGAAAAATCAGCTAAAAAAAGAACCTAACTTGCACATGAAAACTAACTCGTGAAGTAAGTAGCAAGACACATGGATAACAAAAGGACCCCGAAACAAAACTATACACCATTAATCCATTTACAGTAGCTGACCCCTCAACCAAAATGAAATAATTCGAATCGGAGATGATGTCTATAGAAACTAACAATCGGATGCTCGTTAAAGAACCCAACCCGATCACTCAAATGTCAGACGAAATTACGAGGGATTAAAAAAAGAAAAACTGAAATCAAACCCAAAATCAGAAAACTAAACAAAAGGGGAAAATGTTAACTTGAGTAGAATCTCACATGCCCATGAGGTTCAATATGCCAAATTCGGGCCGTCTGATCAACGGAGCCCGAGGCCAGCTTCGTGCCCGAGCAATTCCAAGCCACCGAATGTACCTTTTTAATCGCGCTATATGTGTTGATTTGATTTTGAGGTAATACTAAATACTAACATGAAGTGTAGATAAACAAATACAATTACTAACCAAACAGATGAATAAATATGAAGAAGACATACCTTCTTCTTGTGGCCATGGTACTCTCTGCTGTGTAGGGTTTTGAAGGGCAGAGTATCCTCCATTTCTGTAAGTAGCTCCGACATGTTGCTTTGGTCGAAGTAAGCCCGTCCAGGGCCGAAAATTCAATATTAGTCCTATCGTTTTAGCCAAAGTTCAATTTTCTCACTATAATTAATTGATCACTCTCAAATTAAGTCCGATAATTTGACAATCTAATCAATTATAGTCCTTTTTTATCTGCCCCTGAATAAACGTGACGTGGCATTTTTAAATATAGCATGGTGTGATTGTGATTTATGTGGCGGGACTAAGAAATTTTTTACTTCAAAATTAAACGATTCACATCAACCCGAGACATAGTTGCAATTCTAACAATTTTTAAATTTCAAAATAGTTCATATGACTTGTTAAATTTTTTGAAACGAGCCCCTGCAATCCAATACTCTATTTCAGTTTTGTCTTCACCTATTTGTCTTTGTCGTCTGCTATCGATGGCCGTCGGTCGACCACCTTCCATTGGAATTTTTTTTACATCACCTTGAAGCTCTTCTCGTCCTCGTTCACTTTCTGAAATGTCAGACGAAAATTTCACTGGTTAGACCGTCATCAAAGTTCTTAGATCTAGAAAATTTTTGGTCAAAATTCTTCTTCAATTTCTCGGCGGTTCACGCGCGATCCACTAAATCCGAGGACACCTCCGGATTCGTCACGCCACCGTGCACCCAACGATGTCCACCATCTCTGAAACTGGCAACCCTTATTCCAGTAAATGCACTAGAACCGAAAGTTTTGTTACACATTGTAACTATGAGGAAAAAAAATATATAAATGATCAAACGACACAAACAAGAATATATGTGTGAATGTGATGAAAAGCAGTAAGATTTCTCTGACTTTGACATGCTCGTATGTTTTCTCCAGGTATTGCAGCACGAGTGGGCGAATATTGTGATTTTGGTGCTAACTATTTGTGCGATTTTTTTTTTGTGCTATTTTTTGCTAATTAGCATCATGTGGTCATCTTGAGTTGTCATTTTTGTGTTAAATTTTTATCTACTCTTTTTGCTGCCGCGCACCAGAGGTCTAGGTTCACCATTTTATTGGTTTTATTTTTTAATTTTTTCTTTTTAATTTGTCGCCTATTTCCACTTGGTAGTGACAAACCAAAATTTATCGCCACCTGCCATAATTACAAACTTTAAATTCAAATAAAGTCACCACATCACGTTATGTCAGATTTAAAAGCGCAATGTCACGCCACGTCACATTTTTTTATCTAATGTGCGGATAAAAATGACCAAAGTTGATTACTTTGTCAAATTATTGGACCCAATTTGAAAATGGTCAATGACAGGGTAGAAAATTAGAATTTGGCCAAATTATAAGACCAATTTTGAATTTTTGCCCCCGTCCATTGTCATGTATCAACATATATCTTCTAAGAAAAAATGTGAGACCTTTATAAGCCTACACGCGGCATTTTCAGAAGATACCATAATGTCTCTACTTTATCTTTTTTTCTTATTTGCACTTTACAAAACGATGTCCTTTAAATGTAGCTTATATGTTAAAGCAAGACAAATGGTTTTCTCAAATTTCTTACAGAATCTCTCTTTCCAAATCCTTTCTCTTCGCCGCTTTTGGGACGGTTAGGAGCAGCTCAAACCTCACTGTGCTCGTGTTGAAATCCGACTTGTACTCG